TGCAGTCTTTATCACCATCATTTTACATGTGTAATGTGAGTCTGGCTAAGACATTTTTAACATTCTTCTACAGCTTAACAATAGAAGTTAAAATTGCCTGTCACTATAATTAGATCATACAAATATAACATATCATATAGGAGAGTAGTAAAGGACATTGGGACCATCCATTATAAACTACTATATGCCATATCAAGAAAAGACTCCTAATAGATGGGAAATAAGGTCTCTTAGCATGAGGACAGTACTGTACCATTTATAGCATATGGAAAGTAGAATATACATTGACCCAGGAATACAAAGAATCAAAGCAAAAGACTAAAATAATAATTTCCTTTGTGTGAAGCTATAGTTTACTTTATTAGAATTATGTAAAGAAGAGGTCTGTTGATGAAAACAAAAGGCAATAGGCTTATTCACCAAGGAGTCAGTTACTAGGCTTACCTGATCTTACCAATTTACCCCATTCCTTTCTATTTATTTTTATTTACTTTTTTTAATATCCAAACCTATGATTAATGTTATTAATATTGTTATTACTAGTAATTATCATAATGTTATTAATAATGCTTAGATTATTAAGAATAAAAACTTTAAGTAAAGTCAAGAAATACAGTAAACAGTTGAGATATGGGTAGGAGTCATTAGCAGCAAAGCACTGGTGGAATCATATGTATAAACAAAATTAATAAACTGAAATTACAACAGACAAGGCATATATACATACTCTCTTGGTGTCAATTTGTTGAATATTAATTAACCAGCCAACCCTCTTTAGTACCAAAGTAGATATGGAAGAAGTTTTCCTTCTGTGCTTTGTATGCAATTTGCTTAACATATTCAAAGTGTCATTATATAGGGGAATTATAAAAGGGAATATTTTACTTGAAATAGCAAGTTTTGCAGTTGCAGTCTTCAGAGGCACTATATTTATATTTATTTAATATTCTCAAAAATTGAGAAAACTGCTTTAGAAACTGAAGCAGTAAGTTGCAGCATTGGGAAGAGTACCTTTCCTTTTGTGTGCAAAGGTTTGTGATTTAATATTTATTAAGGAGAACACAGAGGAATAAGAGAGAGAATTATTTCTTTACTCTTACTGCCTTTTTTTATAATTTTTGTTCATATTAAAGAATCTTTCTGCAACTTCTAACCTTTCCCATGTTTCCCCCCAGCACAACGACCAACCAGTCCGGCAGAGTGTTAAGGTGGTGTCCAGGCCTGTTGATTCACCAAGCCCAGAAGAGGACACTACTCCCGTCCATGCACAGATGCCTCCCATCATACCAGGAAATCAGTGAAATTTATGCCTCTCCTGTTATCTTTGGGCTTAAATAATCTGGTTCTCATTTGTCTAGCGTCGTTACAGTGTAGTCATTTGAAAGTTAAACTGAAAATTAAAGTATTTGCTTTGAGGGTCACCAAACTGTTTTGTGCCGATAATGAAAGCTTTGTAATTTGGTGTAATGCATAATTTGTGTAAGTTTGATGACCAAACTTACCAGTTATTTTTGTTACTTTGTGTTGTTATGCTCAGTCCTTCCCATGATTGTTAAACTTCTTTTTAAAGAAGAAGAAAGAAAAGAGGAAGACATCTGTAACTGGTGTTGTTATTTGAATAGAAAATGTTTTTTTATAAATCTGAAATTAGGTAATTACTAATTATTCTCTTTGAAACTTCATGTTCTTACTGAACCAGATGTGTGAAGTATTTTTTGTAAATATATTTAAAATATTATATATATTATCACATTTCCTCACCTTCTGGAAGTATAAATGAGAAAGACAGACTGACCAATGAGGAAAGTGTAAAGATTTTTCTTTATACATAAATGATATAATTTCTTTTCTTTTTAAAATAGAAAAGGATCATGTGTAATTTACACACTGTTTGGATATTATTTACTATAAAATGTTGCATTAATAGTTACTACTGTTTCTAGAAATGATTGCTGAGAGATGGCACTGCTAACAGACATTAAAAGAAATATAGTGAAACAAAACAGAGAGGATCATTCCCAAATATAGAAGACAATGTTGTTATATTTTTGTTACAGTTTTTTCTTTATTTTTTATTTATTTATTTTTTTTTATACACCACCAAAGAGAAAAAAAATGTAGAATATAATTTGCTCCTACTTAATTTAGCATACTGTCAGTCTGCATAAAGCGAAATGTTTCATAAGGAACTAAAGTAATTATAAGGGAAAATAAAAACAAGAATAACAATTGTTTCAAATAAAAATCTTCACATTTATATAAGCTAGAAAAAAGACACGTTTTTAACTTTGCCTTAAAACCTCATATGGGGCATATTATATCTTCATTTTAAACTTGAAGACAAGTAAATGAATACAAATCATATATGTTATCATGAATAGCCATAAGATATACCACATGGGATGAACCCATCTGCAAAATTGATGCTTTGATAGCAATATCAGATATTCAGTCAGATATCATATCCTTTAGACAAATAAGAAATGCAGATACTAAATTA